GCACCGCGGTTACCTCACGCTGTCTTATGTCACCGCGCGTTGCGCGTTACATTACCATACCGAAGGGGGAGGGGAGCGCTGACTCATCCGCCACGTCACTGCTGGTGGGGGGGTTCTCCGTTGCGCAACATGTCACACTGGTTGTAACTGCCGGAGAACAGATGCTGCAAGAACAGCCTCCGAAGCAAAGGAACGGGGATGCACCGTTAGGCTATTCGGGATGAACAGCCTTAAGGAGGGAGCAGTGTGACATGTTGCGCAAAGGAGAACCCCCTCCACCAGCAGTGACATGGCGGATGAGTCAGTGCTCCCCTCGGCCCCTCCGCACGGTAACGTAACGCGCAACGCGCGGTGGCGTAAGACGGCGTGAGGTAACAGCGTTGCTTCGTAATAGGCACACACAGCCACTATATAAGAGACCTGCGCCGCCTGCGGGCAGAGTTGTAATGTGGCCATCGCCGAGTTTAGTAGTAGTCGAGCCAATGTGTTATCAAGAGTTCTCAAGGCAGCAGCCTGCGAGTTGAGTTGGAATAGAGCAGCCGTCGTGGAAAGAAGAACCGGACGTATGTGTAACTGTGTAATTGGGAGTATGTAACACAGGGACACTTACATAGCTCCCCTACTGTAAACGTGTAGACTACTGAAGATAGAGTGAACTGATTTGCGAATAGGGTTATAAATTGTGAAACCCCGCAAGAGTATTAACAGATTATTGCAATTAGGGTTATAAAGTGTGAAACCCCGCAACTATGTTATAATTAATTGTAGCCGTTACATGTAGGTTGTTGAATAAACCAATTAACAATCCGTACTGCGTCTTCAGTAACGGAAACACGTTACAATATATATATATATACTCGTAACACAATATCAAATATCAAATCTGCTTACACTTGTTCTCAAAGTGGGGCATGAAATTTGTGAAATGTTTTAAGGGGGTTGCAACATATAAAAGTTTGGGAACCTCTGCGCTAGACAGTTTGGTCATACTGCCATGCTTGGTCTTCTGGTCTTTGGTAATGGCATTTACATCACAACAGATTGAATGGTTATACTGTCATGACTCAGTCTTCTGAAATTGGATATTTGCACTTCCTTGACACCATTCAAGGTTCTACACTCTATTAAAAGAGTATGATTAATAAAGGGCTAATCCAAAGGGAAGCACAATAGATCATTGAAGGTCGCAGTGTGGGGGCCGGTTTCTATGGCCCACCCCTTACATACATACATACATTCCTTCACACCATACCTAATGGTATGCAGCTATAATTCATTCTTCTGGATTTAAATACTGGCATTTCCTTTGCACCATATGCGACACTTATTACCCAGTGACTCCATCTTTTGGAATTGCGGGTCTGAATGGAATAAGGACCTATCCCAGTTGACAGTGAGTGTTTAGTCTTGTATGGAGGTTGCTGTTCAGTAGTGTGGGAAAACACTTTGCAGCAAGTAGCAATGCTTTTGTTTAATTACAGGGACGGAAACCAACAGATGCAGTGACTGTTTCATTGATACCTTTCTCTAAGCTGTTGAGGAACTTGTTAAACCTGGCCATTGCCATAAATATGCATTAGAGCAGTCCAGATGTCTAGAATAAACTGTTTCCTGTCTCAGCTACAATACACAAATTCTGTAATATTTTGGGTTATAATGTACCTTGGTTTAATTTTTACAATAACTGTAAGTAATAATTTTTCAATTTTCAGGTGACAGCATTAATTTCATTACAAATACCCCACAACACAAAAAAGTTTTAATCTTAATTATTAATAATGAAATTTTTCCGTTAAAGTGGCATGAAAACCAGTGCTCCCAGGGGAACAAACTTCTTTGTTTATTCATATTACCCTGTATGTGGTTCTTGCTGTCAATATGTAATAATTTCAGTATAATTTTTTAATTTCAAGTTTGTTTACAACTTTCAGTAAATTTCATGTGTTCCTATAAATTTTATCAGGTTCAAATCTGTCTCATGCTATTAATATCTTACATAAAGTTACAAAGAGAAGGGAAGGTCCAAAACTTTTGAACCATAAACATATACACATGTGCCCAGGCAAAAAGAGGGAATGAAATTGTTTGTCTATCCTAAGGATCTCCTTGGTGCCATAACATTCTCAATTAAGTCCTAAGGTGGATGGAAGTTTCAGACTCTCTTGTCATTTGTCTCATGTGGCCTTCATTCAGTATTGTTCTAATTTTATTGTCTATTCTTAGCTTCATATTAGTTTCCTTCATCACTTACTATTTTTACACTTTTAAATTTTGTTTGAGCAATTGTTTTGCCATGAGTGTGCATTTGAATCATTAAATTATTTATTCATTTTTAATTAATTAACAAAATACTCTATGTCAATAATCACATATTTAAGCCACAATCTATCTTTTGCTCACAGAAGCCACCTCTACAGCTGCAGCCTATTAATGGTAGATAACATAGGGATTTGCATATGCATGTTCTTAACACATTCCTTACCCGTCACTAAAATGATAATCTGGGAATACAGTAATGTTGAACATATCTAACCAACCCTTCAATCTTTTCTCTCTTTTGTTTTCTTCCTCTTAACAGTTTTCAGACAACCAAACAAGGCATTGTAGACCCTATGTTATCCATTTGGGGCCAACAGATGTTTGTTAACGAAGACACAGACCAGTAAGTCGACACAGATACAGTATATACGCTGTATAATGTTTTCACTGGGGGAAGGCCTGATCTTCAGAATCAGTGTTACAAACTGAATTGATCGTACTAAGTGGCATATTTTATAGCGGTCTTAAATTTATGTTATGTTTCGTGAACAATTTTAAAATATTGAGAAAGTTTATAATTATTTTCTGTTTATTTGTTTGCTTATGCATTTAAGCAGTACACTTGTTCTGTGATAGACATGTTATGATTTAGTTTTTCCAGTGGCATTTCCAGTGTCTTATCAATTGAATGTGAATGGTGTTGATGACATAAGGCTGCTGGAAATACATACAGCTGAGCCTTTTAACACCTGAGCTCAATTCTTTTGAGGTTGAAATTGCTAATGGAAAGTTGAAAAGGTATATATGTTGGCTGATATTGATAAAATATTTGTAGAATTTATTTGAGCACCCTGTTCTTAAATATGTTCAACTTTCTTTCCTTAAAGTGAAGGATCAGGGCTTGCATACATGCAAAGCAACATGTAAAACAATGTCTATTTTATTATGTACTCATTTTGATGTTTTTAACTATGTACAAAATTTTATCAAACATTCTTTTCTCAAGGTTAACTTTATATGCACACAAAATTATTTTACTAACTTCACCGACAGGCGGCGGTCGCTTGGTCAGTATAGTTTGTTTGCTGAATAAGACCACTGACTTTCGTTTTGATCATTATTATAGGTTTTGATGCAGAAGATCAACTACTGACAATATTTTTTGCATTAAACAACGTTAAATTTTGTTATGCACAGATCTATAACCCTGATTTACATGAGGTTAAATTGAATATCATGAAATGGCCCCAAAAAGCTCGTTCTGCAAAGAATTGATACATGAACATAAAATATAGATCCAATGAACTCGTATTTGAAGTGTGTTTTGATATGTTGGATGAATAACGAACTGCAATGAAAGATTAATTTGGCTCTTTGTACTGTCACTGAAGTTAGGTCAGCATTGCAGCAGTTGACTTTTGTCTGCAATGTGTGAACATCAAGTTCCATTAACACCACTAGTATACTGTCATATATAAGTCTGAATTGTATAGTGATTATTTTCCATGCTGTGACAGTATTAGTCATGAATGTGGATCATAAGGATGCATATATTTAGTACTAAAGCAATGAAATTAGAAGCTGTCTACTTCTTTTAAATACATATCATGGACTTCATCTTGTTCACTGTGTTTGTTAGGGATGACTGGAAGTTAATTATAACACTTGTATTGTAAAAAAACTATTCTAAGCGTAAAAAAGCATTTATATTATGATACAGTGGCCTTCCTCCAATTAAAACACTATAAACATCATGTGAACAGTTCATAACAGTCAGTTCTACACATTAGGATGCGTGGGACATTCAACTCCCAAACAGTTTCTCCTGTGTGTTTTATTTCAGCTTGAAGCATGTGTGTGAATAATTTGGAAGTAACAGTTTTGAGTAGTCAGACATCAAACAAATGAGCATGCATGTATGCACACAAAAATACTAACTTACATTTTGCAATTCCAGTGTTGCTTTTATTTGTATATTTATGAATGCAAGAATATTTATTTAAGTGTTGCTTCTTGTGATAATGCTTATATGGAAATTGTAATTTTTATGTTCAGTTTTCAGTCTAATTGCTTGCTGCAGGGCTGAGCAAAATGTTAGTCATTGTCTCCTGATGGAGTGCAACCCAGTTTTGGCTGGATTGCCAGTGTGTGGGTGAACAGTAGTATTTGTTTTACTTTTAGGAGTTTCAGAAGTTAGTTTATGAAGCCTGATGAGCAAAAAATATATCCATACCTCAGAAAAGTTACTTTCTGCTTACCATCCTTTTTTGGTTCTGCTCACGTATATGAACCAGCTTTCTTGAATATGAATGTCATCAGGGCAAAATATTGCTCCCCTCTCACAGGCGAACATTTGGGCTCATATTTAAGGTTATCAATTAGCCATTGAAATTAAAAAAAATAATGGATGAATGTGGTATAAGTCTTCTTAACCTTCTTAATTAAATGTGTTTCTGTGGGTCTCATGTTATTTTATATTAGTACAGAATTTTTATTTAAAAAAACATGCTTTTATTCTTAAAATTTCATGTTAGTAAAATTATTATATTATGTAAGTTGTTATATTTATCCTGAAAAAATGGTTGATATTTTAGCTTTAAGCAGGATTTAACTTATGAAACCTATGATTTTATACAGTCTTATTAAATGCTAAGAAAATATATGTTAAATGAAACAAATAAGTGGACCACAGAGTTCTGGACAAATTTGGAAGTATATGCATTATGCAAAAATCTGCCCAGCCCTAGCATATTGATAAGCAGCCTCAATACATCTTTTCTCCTGAGCATGTTTTAGTGTGTTTTCTTCCATAATTTGTTAATATAGTGAATGAATTTATAGGATGAATTCTCTCTAGGTTAAAGAGTACCACAACCAAAATGCATTAATGTATTATTTTACTGTGTTTAAGGCCCTATTCTTCTAAAACACGTTTAGCGTAGTTCTTACTTATCATTGCTGATGTTACATGTTTATGTGATTTCTGGCAACAATATAAGAAACATGCTAAGAATTCTTAAATATACTCAGAATCACAGTTTGCTGATAACAAAAGCAATCATAATGACTTTGATTCCATGAAAACAAAGGAGAAGTAACAGTATATTTTTTTATCTCTGTAAATACATGGATTTGGAACCAATTTGTTTTTCAAAATTTATAGAGATGTGTGGAGCATACTGACGTCTTCCTTCTTTTGAAGCATGTGATGTATTAGTACTAAGTATGCTATGAATCAGATTGCTACACTTTTATTCATAAAATGACACTGGATGCCATTGCTCATCTGTTACGGTTGTAACTGCAGTTATGTATCGCAGAGTGTGGGGCTGCCTAACATCATTACCTCTCATCCTATTTCTTATGCTATCCATACAGTTCTAGATGTAAACTCACTTAAGAAGTGAGCTGTGGCTGTTTAATGCTGCTTCTTTCCTGCCAACCTGAATTTCCTTCATATTGGTTTTTACAAAAAGATTATAGAATGCTGATTCTTTCGTAATGGCACTTACATAGTAGAGTATGATAGTTCTGAGACAAGTAACTGGTGTCCCTTCAAACACAAAGGAATTTTCTGCACATCCATATCCAGAGTTTTAACTACAATGGGCAAATTTTAACAAACATGCTTTGTTGTGGCTGTGAATCTGACATACTGGCAAAGTCCAAGCAAGTGAGGAAGAGGCTACCTCTGTCTTAATTGATTGAATCAATGCAGTTTTATCATCAATTACTGCAGTCAAATGGGTAGCTTTGCTGATTCCAATTTGGTAAGTCCCAGGTTCAAATCTAAGCCTAAGGACTGGCTAGCATGAGGATTTACTTGGTTTTCCTCCATCACTCCAGCCACATGTTTGGATAATATCTTATTTGCACATCCTTTTGATTCCTTATTTACTAATCATCTTGCCATTTTGTACTATAAGGTCAGAACTATGGACATTGTCATTAAATCCTTTGACCCAGTAAAGTTGTTATGGTGCAGTATTCCAACAAATAACTGTATGCACTGGTTATAGCTAGTACTAACTCTCTGTAGGCTCATCTTCCAACAGTGGTCTCTGTATTGTCAACTGTTGTCATTTACATAAGAAGGATGCTTATGTAGACGAGATTCTTGAAATATGCATTTTGTACTTCTTCAGTATTGGATTTTGAGTGTGTGAAACAGAGCCCTTAGTAAACCATAAATAACTATGATGTAAGTTTTTGTATTGCACATGAGGATTTGAGGCATCATATCAGTTCATTCTACAGAAATGCTGACAAGCTTCATTTCTTACCATGAGGGAACACTGTTCCTTATAAAGAAAGAATTTATTTCCAATGCCATCTAATGGGTTCAGACAGTTTTTCAAATGTAGCACTATTAACATGCAGTTTCAATGCTGTTTTGACTTGCATCTCTTTACTGTCTCTGGTACTCTAGTTCCATTGTGTGAGGTAAAGTGCATTATTCAGGATCTGCTACATAGTATATGTTGGTGCATTATGTTGCATTTGTTGAGATCATATCCTGTATTCTGTGCATGTTAAGCCTGTTGTAACTGGAGCTTCCCCTGTGGAATGCAGTAAATGTGCACAGATGACTCCTAACCAGGCACTTGTATAAGATTCGAGGCTCTCACAGCAGTACTTGGATCATACTCTGCTGGGAAGTGACACTCTGTACTTTGGTACATAGATACCAATGTCTTATAGGAATGTATTGCTTTCATCTTCAATTCTGTGTTGAAGGTAGAGGCAGTAGACCATCTGAAACAGTACCTAGGTACCAAACTACATATCATCACATCCCTGAATACCATAACTGCAAACTTTGTATGTCTCTTTTTACACACACTGTGGATTTGGAGTTTTGATTAATAGCATGTTAGACATTGTCATAAACATGTCTGAAATTTAAGTAGCATGATACTCTGGACATAATGTTTGTCAGTTACAGGAATGTTAGTTTTAATTATCATGAAAGCTTAAGGAATGTCATATGCACTTTTGCATTTCTTTGTCACAGCTGTTACTATGAAATGTTCTACTTCCATACTGCATAACTTTGTCTCTTTACTTAAAGTTGCAATCTGCTATTAGTGCTTACTATCTTGTATTATTTGCAGTTGTGTGCTAGATTCGTGGACATATGATAAAGTACTAAGATTCATTTATTAGAGAAAAAGTATATTCTCAGCACATCACTATTACATTTTCCAGTATTTACTTAATAATGCCATGTAACATGCATTTGACCAAGAAAAGCAGTTTACTTTATCAGAAGTTTATTGTTCTCATGGCAATGAATATGAAGGTTATCTTCTGACTGTGACAGCATATAATCTGGTAGAAATGCACCATTTCATTCTTCTGCCAAGAAGACTGAGGAAGCAGGTGTCATCAAGCTGTTGAAATCTTTATGTCAGACTACATGATGTCACATTGAAGAAAACGGCAATTTTTAACTTGCTTTATCTTTAACCCTTTCACTGTTAATTAACTCCATGGTGCAGGGTTGTTCTTGGAAACTTGGTGGTTAACTTAGGCAATTGAAAAATTCAATGCTTGTGTAGATCTTGATGATTCATCACCAGATTCACAAACATCTGTCATTTGACTGTGTCCTGAACCAGCAGAATGCTGTCTACATTGTTACACCCTGTTCCTTTAAGATTCACTTTAATATTATCATACCATCCACACTTACTCTTCCCAAGTGGTCTGTTCCCTTGAGATGTTCATTTCTCATCTTCCATGCATAATACTTGCCCAGCAAAGAGTACAAAATAAGAATTCCCTATTATGCAGTGTTCACCCTGTTCTTTTTAATTCCTCTTTCTTATGTCCAGATTACTCCTCTGCATTCTCTTCTGAAACATTCAATTTAGGTACTTACTTTAGGGTGAGAGCTCAAGTTGTATATCCATACAGAACAGTGGATAATACTGTCAAGTGTCACAATGGCTAAAGACAGGGTTCAGATTGGTAATTGTATTTATTAGCCACCCACAGGTCATAACTACAAATAATTATTACATTATTGCTGCCTTACACAATTTACAATCACTCCACCCTAATCTTCTTAGTCTGTTTCCACTGGTCTTCACTATCCATTTCCTCGCCATGAATTTATAACACAGGAACTATGGAAGTCTCACTAAATCACACACTCCCAATATCACTATACTACTACACACACAAAGTCTTCAAATCACATGTTAAGTCTTCACAGGCTTACTTCTTATACTCTTCTATACTGCTTGCTTGCTGTGCTCCTCCAGCTTACCACTGTACCTTAGCTGCTTACTACTCAGCTTAGGAATTCTGCTCACTTATATAGATGCGGTACAGACATGGACCTACAGAAAACACATCACATGATTGCTATCCACCCAGTCCATTAGTGCTCTGGCTGGACCTACAGAAAACATGTCATGTGATTTCTAAGCATTGTTGTGTGATGTCATTGCTCATGTGCAAGCTGCACAAACTCAAAGAAAACACTGCTGCTGTATTGTTGGCTGTGTGTATGTTGTGGGCATTATCTAGCAGTGGATTTACATGTTACAATACCATACTTTTTACATTTATTCTTGGGATTCTTAAAGAATATGTGGGGACAATAAAAGTGAGGACAGTACTGTCAATCATCTGTGTTGTGGGAAATTTATTAATTACCTTTTCTGAATATGGTAATGGAAGTTCTGTTCCGCCCTTGCATGTGGACTGGAACTCAGTATGTGTTTCTATTCATACTTTTTTCTTTCTGTGAGTGTTACAGTAATCTACATTTTTGAGATGTGAGGTTTTCATGGCAGTGAATAGTAAGGTTACTCTCTTCTGGGATGTGATGCTGTGTAGGTACCTTTTATTATTTTGAAAAAAAATAATGTATATACAAAATTTGCCTAGGAAAAGCCCATCCAGCCCTGTGTAGCACATTCTTATAAACATCTTATTCTATCTTAGAGGTCACCCTGTGATTTTTTAATATATCTGATAACTTAAACCCAGAAGATGGATGTAACTACATAATATATAATCTACCCAGAAGATGGCAACACCAGGTTTCTTTGGAACATGGGTTCCTATAGAGTTAAGAGATATATTAAAAAATCGTGGGTCGACCGCTATGACAGAAGAAGATGTTTATAAGACTGTGCTGCAGAGGGCTGAATGGGCATTGCCTAGGTTTTTTGCATATACATTCATTTTTCAAAATAAAAGAAAACATTAGTTCCTATTTACCAAATTACATGGTGTCAGATTCCAGAAGGCTATAATCTTACTCTGTATTTTTCTTTCACCATGTACAACATTGGTTTTGTGCAGTTGAACTGTTAAGCTCACATCAGTGAAAGGGTTCAAAGGTATGCCACTTTTGTCATGGAACTAGTAGACTATATTCACTGTTTCTCAGTGTTGAATGAGGAGAAGTTGAATAACATTCCTCCTGAAAGTTACATGTGCATTATTTTGCAAAGTAAATCTGTTGTTTTTCTATTTTAAAATAATTTCCTTTGTAGTGTGACTGATATTTCTTTCATATTTCGTGAATTTATGGTAGATATGCATGGGTTTGCTTTGAGATTTTAAAGACACGCAAAATAATGTTCAAATTACAGCACAACCCATACAAAACATGTATCTGCTGATATCATACAAACCAGACATTCTGACATCTGGTCCACACAGTAAACAAACGTCTAATGCTACTTCAACAATCACAACTGCTCTAGTATGTGCTGAGTTTCATCATAGATTTGGTTTAGAGAACACATGTCCAATAAGAAACTAAACATTGTACATATTTCTAAAATTTTGTTTCACAGAAAATACTATATGTTGTAATAAAGTAATATCACAGCAATATTTTTAGCATTTAGAACCGTTTTTAACAACTGTGAGTGATATTTTACACTGGAGAATATTGTTGTTACTTTAAATAGGTGAAATCTGTAACTGATTGATTTTCTTCCATCAGTTGTTAAAAATTTTAGGTAGGTACAGTCCAATACATGATTCTTTATCAAATAATAAGTTACATAAATCTCATTCGCAGAGCAGTTTTCCAAAGTTGAGACCATTATATCATTATACAAAACTCCAGTAGAGTGCATTCACACCATCTGGTGGAAGAATGGTAAAGTCAAATTAGCAGTGTCCTAATGACTGGATAATGGTACCCTTAGAATTGAATCTCTTACTCCTTTCATTGGTATGACACATCTCTGTATCTCTGTGTGATGCAACTGGTTGTCAGTTGCAATGAATAATTTCCCATGCCTCTCTCTTGACACAGCTGAAAGATACATTTATATTAATATAGCCTGACTTATTTAAACTGAATTTGAATTTACCAATTTGAAGTTGTTTTCAACACAAGAATTAGCTTTCCACCTAAACATCACACTCTTATATTTTATGTTTACTTAGTTGGGATCGTTCAATCAATATAGTGACTAGGCTGTGAACATGGATGATTGAAGAATCAGATCCCAATTCCTGGCAAAGGCAAGAGATTTTTCTCTTCTGCATAGTGTCCAGACTGTCCCTGGGACCCACCCAGCCCCCTATCCAGCAGGTACTGGGGGTAAAGTGGCTGGAGCATGAAGCTCACCATTCACCTCAGCCTAGTGCCAAGGTTGAGAAAGCTTGGGGCTATATCTCCACTCCCCCATTTCTTCATGTTGTAATTCTTTATTAAGCACAGGGACACTGTTATATGCATTTCATGGCACATAACAGAAGCACATGGAATATGCTTTTGGCCAACAATTTTCTTCACCATAAGCTATGAGAAACACCGTGATGAGACACGGGTAGTTCTGACAGAATGTGAAAGGTTAAAACATAAGGATTCTGTTAATTTTCAGTAGAATTCCGATGTAGGAAGGCAAGTTGTTCAGTGAGGAGCTTGCCAGGATGAATGTCATGGTACCAGTGACAAGATACTCAAATGTTATGTCATTTCCCACATTATATATATGTAGTGAGCTAAAGTACATTTTAACAATCTATATCTCTTTCATTCTTCTGTGGTCCTTCAGTATGATGTAACTTAGCACACACTGGATTCAATGAAGCCATTTCCATATGACATGAACTCAAACACTGACACTTTGTGTGGTTAATGAACCGACGCCCTATTAAGAATATTTAGTTGCAGGGAATATGAATGATATGCAAAGGCAAAATGGATTTTGTTCTTGCAGTGCTTGCTGATCTGTTTTGCTTTAGACTGACTAGTATAATATTTTGTGCATTGTCACTGCATATAACATGTACCTTGTTAAGGTGAGAAAGGCCAAGTTTAAGTTATTTCTATGAAAGTGGTTTACTTGTGAGAAGTAAGTATGTTAAAATGTTCAAGAAAAATTCACCACATTGTTACAAGCTATTTCTGGAATGCTTTTCCAGTGTCTAATTATAAATTATGTGTATTTGTTATTTGTTAGTATACATTTCTGTATTGTAGTATTTTATGTGTTGTTTGCCATCATTCTATATGTTGAATTCACATAATATTCCTTTAGTTGACTTCAGCCTACACTTTATGTTTTTGTGTGTTGTTTGAGTATTTACTATAATTTATAAAATTTGTGTTGTACAGTACTGGTCACTATAGTTACACACATGTAAGAATTGTTGTATTGCAGGATAGCCAGAACTTTCTGCTTCAGTAATCGTGGGCATGGACTGTACTTGTGCTCACCAACAGAAGTACAGAAGTTCACAGTGTCTGCAGACTTCTGGTAAGAATTTTTGTGTTGTGATATATACTTGCAAATTGTGGAAGGACATCTTTGATATGATAAAGCACATTTATTGTAACCTGTCAGTCTGTGTAATTGTGTGGTGGGGGAGTAGCAAGAAGTGACACATTTAACACAATCAGTCACTCCCCCTTCAGATCATTATCATCTTGTAGTGGCTAGGGACTCCTGCTCCTTAACTTCTTGTGGTTCTCCTGCACACCATGATTACATCTATATCTTCTTCCATAATTTTTTTCCCATTCCATTCAATGCAAAAGGAAATGTGAAGTGCAATATATGCAATTGCACAGCATAGAGTTGTTATGATTGGAAATATGAGGGATTTTGTTCAGGGTCGAATGTGACAGTGGTTTTTCCACGGCCTATATTTGTTGTCTTGACAAATTGTGCTGTCTGCGTGAGGCCTGATTATATACTTTATTGGACCAAGGACATATGATGTGTAGTCATAAATTTGTAATGTGTGACATGTTTTATATCCAGCCATACGGGGAAGCGATTGCATCCATGAAGTGAAAATGTAAATGTAAATGTAAGTAGACATTCTCTCTAGCCATCTGTCCTTCCTCCTTTCATTCATTCTTTCTTTCCTACTTCCCTCTTTCTTGTATGTCACCTGCTCCAAACAGACATGGTACTATTTTTCCATGACAGTGTAGCTTTTAGAACAGGTAACATTCTCATCAATTATTATTTATTTTTATGAATAAACATTCACTTCTGCTGAGATTCATTATAACAGCATTTTACTGTATAACACATTAACTCTTGTTCAACATTCTGAGGGTCATGCTGAAAATATCTGTGTCCTTGCTAGTTGCTCCTATCATGTTACAGCCCAATTATGTCATGTTGTATTTTAAGAATTCCCACTTATTTCATAGCATCATATCAAGATGTTAAGAGCCCAAAGGTAATTCCATCCTGATGATGTATCATGAAACCAATTCAGAAAAATTGCCATGAATCTTCTTTAATACTGTGAACAGTCCCTATTTAACAGGCTCGCCACATCACACTAATACTAACCTGTGAACAGGTTAAACTTTTGCTTATTTCAAATACAAATTTTGTTTCATTTCAGTTCAAGCCTTGCAGAAATGGTAGGGGAGCTGTTCCTTCCCCATGACATGCCGGAACCTCCAAAGGAAGGCTTCTTCAAGGGGTTATTTGGTGGTGGTATACGACCCTTGGATAGAGAAGAATTGTGTGAGTTGAGCATTTCCATATGTTGCATTATGTATCACGACAGAACAGCATACTCTAAGGTTACAGTCACTGGACTCATAGTTTTATTTTTAGTGCTCTTGGCAACTAGACTACAGTACTGCATAGTTCCATGATTGGTTTTATGGAAAGAGGCTGGAAGGAAGCAGTCATGGCCTGTTTGAGGTATTGTCCCAGCATTTACCTCAGTGATGATCTAATGATGATGGGCTGAAAAACTATACTACAAGAGATACTGTACTATTTTAATGACAGTAATAAGAGAAGCAAAGAACTTGTATTACCGTGAATTAATAAGTAAATCAAAGAATAAAATACAATCAACCAGGAAGATAATCAATAAAGAAACAGTGATAAATCGACCCATGGACAATATAGTAGAAATCCAAGTGGGGGAAAGTAAACTAAATCCTAATGAATTAGCCAATGCTTTTAATCAGTATTTTACAACAATAGCAGAGAAATTAGTAACTACGAATTTTGATACAGATGAAGCTAATAAATTGCTCAATACTTCCAAATATGATAGTATACCAGAAGTGCCATCAATCCCTGTAACTCTGTGTGTGTGTGTGTGTGTGTGTGCATGCGGGTGTGCGTGTGCGTGTAACTCTTGTTACAGAGTACGGTTTGTTAAAATCCTGAATAGGATTTCCAGCTTTGAGAGAATTTGATGGTAATATAAATATAAATTTTAAGGGAAGTATTAAAGAGCATATCATAATTTATCCAAAGAGAATCTAGGTTAAAGTAACTTAAACCATCATTTGACAAACATTATTCAAAACTGATCTAAAAAGGAGCCTAAACTACAATGTTTGCAGAATTCAAGCCTAATGACTGAAGATAGTCAGAACTGTGTGTGACATGAAACTATTATACAGTTTAGATACAAAATGAAATATCTTAATGAGCTTGCAACAGACCTTGCAAATGAGAATATCAAACGGCTATTAAAGATGAATAAATGGATTTAAGGAGGGTTACCTTCCTAGAAGGCTAGAAAAATCACTGCAGCAATTTCTTCCTCTGACAGAAGCAGAAATTCAGGGTCTCCTTCTTCCAGCTCAAGCCAATCTTGGATATTTTCTTTCTTGGTTTCAGTCTCAAGCTGCCCTCTACATAGTCTGAAATTCCTCCTGCTCCCAAAACCTATGTGTCTTTTAAAGTATTGTGACACGGATGGCGCAACAGGAAGTAGAGGTCATGTGAACTCTGTGTTTCTACGAGTGACATCACGTACCCCAATTCCTATCATTATGCAACGCTTGGTAAACACCCTTCCCCACGAGGCTGTGACATCACGCAACAGACGAGGCCATGCAATGACTGTTGCTAGTCAATCGGTAAACACGACTAGGCGACAAGAAAGCGAGGCGTTTTCCCGTTGTCTGGCTGAGGGTTTATAAGAGAACCACACTGCCTCCACAGTGTGGAGGCGGGATCCAATACATCCACTATGACCCTGCAAGTCATAGGAGGCGATGAAAAGGGAAGTCTCAATTCTGAGACAGTAAAATATAGTCGCGAGTCCCAAGAGACTCGGACCCGAGTAAGACTGCGCTGGCAAGGGCCAGCAGCATATACAAAAGACAGACCCATCCTCTTGTCAGAGAAGGCGCCCCACAGAAACAAGACTGTAACTGTCAAACGGTAATAATTAATATCTATTTGGGGCTCGACACAAAGACTTACTGACATACTGACCGTCAGTCGCCAAAGTCAGTTGAAATATAGCAGCAGCCGCGGGAAGAACTGAACACGTGGTTAGACGATTTGATGTGATAATCTGTGATAGTTTGTGATAACTGAGAAGGTATTGGGAGTGTGTTATTCAGTGACACTTGTGTAACTCCCACATTATTAATACGTGAAGACTACTGAAGATAGTGTGAAGAGTTTTGTGAGTAGGGTTTGTAAAGTGTGTAAACCCGTAACAGTGTTATAAGCATTTGTAGTTACGATTTGTAGGTTGTTAAATAAACCAATTAAAAATCTGAACGGCATCTTTAGTAGCCAAACACATTACAGTATGTACTCAACTGTGAACAGAATTTTAATTATTAATATTTCAATCAGGATAAGCTATGACCAGATTAGCGAGAGTTTACTGTACATACTGTCACATGTTGGGTGTATAACGCAACAAATAAATTTATGCCATATTGAATGTAGCAAATTTATTCCACATTCGCTCCTTCACTTATACAATTCACGATTACTACCATCTGCAGTATCACAAATACTTCTCCTGCTCTTGGCGACTGCTAGACTTCTGCTGCACTCGGCGACTTCACGATCCGCACTGTGTTACTCCTATTCACACACTCTGCTCACATACTGCTCAGCCAGCGTTTTATACCGTTCCCTGTTGCCTGTGTCAACAGCGGTATCCCCTGTTATGTCACAGTGGAAAGTGCTGTTACGTCACCGCGGGGGAGGGGGGCGGAGTGTTGATTGGCCTGTTACCATAGCAGCGACAGTACTCCAATGTTGTTACATCACCGCTGGCGGGGGAGGGCGGTCCTGCATACCACAATACGTCACAATACAGTTGAGGCACTGATAACTGAGCCTAGTCCTTTTGAGCTTAAATTACTGTTAAAAATTTGCAGATATATAGATCACCAAGTCCTGAACAGATTCTGGCATAATTGTTCCAAGCAGGAGGTAAAACATTATGTTCTGAGTTCCATAAATTTATTCATTCTCTTTGAAATATGGGAGAATTGCCACTACAGTGGAAGGAATGTATTATTGTACTTATTTATGATAAGGGTGATAAAGCTGACTGTAGTATTATTGAGGAATATCTTTCTTACCACCTACATCCAACATTTGATTTAATATTCTTTTTTCAAGGTTTACTTCATATGTAAGCAATGTTTTTATTGTGACATGACAGATGAGAAACCAATTAGATACCAATATTCTGCATTTGTCACATACTGGAGAAATAGTGAGAGTCAAATGGGACAGAACAGTGACTATTTATAGATGGCAAAGATGCCTATAATTCGATTAGGAGTGGAGTGTAGTACAAAGTTCTTACTGAATACATTATAACTGTGACAGTAGTTTGGCCAAATAAAATATGTTCACTCAAAACATGTAGGTAAACATTTGTTTGAGGTATTATCTGTTCTAAATGGTCTCAATCAAGGATATACTTGTATCTCATCACCGTTGTTCTTTACCTTGGTTTACACCATAATAAGTTCCAAGAAGACCACAAGAGACTGGTACAGAATGGTATACTTCAGCTTCTAGTTCATGTCGGTAATATTAATTTATTATGTATTGGATATTGTTAATTTATTTGGTATTGTCATAGATACAAAAAAAAAGGCTTATTTGGCATTAGGAGATTGGTCTAGAAGTAAACCTGGAGCGAGCTAAGTATATGTTCATGTTGTTATATTTTAGCGTCCTGTTGCACTGATTTTCATCCATTATATGTATACAGTGGCCGTCTTGTAGTGCACTCAATTTCACCTGTCACTTCACAACATGTTTAGGCAACATCAGGTGTCCCAATTACGTCAATCTATTGCATTGCTTGCCCTCATATGTTTTCACAACACCATTTAAAAAGTATTTAAAAAGTCCGTATTTGTCAACTATGATAAATTTACACTTGCTAAAACTTGTTAAGATAATTCATCTTATTTGTCTTAATTAAAACTTGCATGTGGTTCGTTCACTACGGGGTCGTTTTTCTTATTTTCTGTGTAAACCGCATCTTATGATGTGTGTTCCCTTCTTAGCTGCGAGTGTTGTAATCAACAGGTGACAGGTGAAATTGAGTGCACTACAAGACGGCCACTGTATACATATAATATGTTCATGTATTTTTACCAGACTACAGGACACAATCATATTTCAAAAACTGCTGATAAATTCATCAAATATATGGAATAGTATGAATGCTGTGAGTGATGGGAACAAATGAAAATTGCATTCAGAAAGTCACTGAGAGTAGATTACATTTGGGGAAGGCTTGCTACCATTTAGTTCAGAATCTTTTGTCTTCCCATGTGCTGTCTAAGAACTTGAAGATTAAAATATGTAAAATTATAATTGTTATCTCTTGTTTTGTATGATATGTGATTTGTCTTTCACATTAAGAGAAGAACATAGACTGAGGGTGTCTGAGAGCAGTTTGCCTAGGAAAATGTTTGAATTTTAGAGGGAGGAAGTAATAAGGGACTGGAGAAATTGCATGAGGAGGGTGTCTGAGAGCAGTTTGTCTAGGAAAATGTTTGAATTTTAGAGGGAGGAAGTAATAAGGGACTGGAGAAATTGCACGAGGAGCTTCATAATTTGTACTTTTCACGAAATATTATTACAGTGATCAGTTCAAGGAAAATGAGATAGGCTGGTCACATAACATACATGGAAGTATGAGAAATGCATGCAAAATTATGATCATAAAACCTGAAGGGGACAGATCACTTGGAAGACCAAGGCATAGATGGTAGGATAAAATTAAAATGGCTCCTAACAAAATAGGATGGGAGGGTGTTGACGGGATATCTGGTTCAGGATGGGTTCATGTGATGGACTTTTATGAATGTGGTGTTGAAATTTGCAGTTCTACTGAAGCGAAACCACACTCTGCTACCACTAGTGAAGCGTAAGTACCCTACAGAGGATCCTTCAGGTTGCATATAGGTTCTCGTGATCACAGGACCGGGCGAGCAGGGGAGGACAAAGAAATCAGCAAGGCGGAAATACCCAAACAGAAATAACCAAATCAAATATTAACAAAGAATAAATATAATATATTAATAAAGAAAGAATACAAACATAATGTAAATACCTGTATCAGAATGATTGCAGAGTTCGCTGTTCTAAGATAGAATACTATGTAGAGAAATTAATTTAGACGGTCGAGGATGACCTCGACCGGTGGTCCGAAACGAGAACAACCTACCCCATCGACGGTTGGAAGCCCAAGAGCCTAGAGCTGCACACGTTAG